TTCACTGACTCTATGAAATTCAATACTTTAATTCTGAATGGGGCTTTAACATGTTTCTTTGTGTTACTCTTATGTTATTCGTTTTGTCCAAATTTGCTGAAAACTTATTCAGATGAAACCAAGTTTGTATTTTCATCTGTTCAATGTTCCCACCAGAGTAAAGAGATGTGGTGTCATCAGCAAATAAAATATTTTTAAAGCTTTGACACATTCACATACAAACTAAACAGCTTTGGTCCAAGCACAGAGCCCTGAGGAACTCCACAACTAACGTTACATAATTCAGATCTTACACTGTTTACCTGTGCAAACTGTTTCCTGTTAGATAATTAGCTAACCACTGTAGTGCTAATGGCCCACTAAGACATTTGCCATAAAACATCAGATTTTTCAGGTCTGTGATGTTTTACAGGTCCGGCTGAGGAGAATACTGCATCGTTTCATTTCCCTGGGAGGAAGCACAGACCTCTRCAGGCCTGACTTACAGGTATCAGGATGAAAACCTCAGACCCTGTGCTGGTGCAGGGGCTCCTGGTCCTGGTTCCTCCTCTTGCACAACACAGYTCACCCTCATGTGGTGAGAGTAACACTTCCTGGAGGATGAAGGAATTGATACCATTGACTGGCCCACACAGCAGTCYGACTTAAATCCAATAAAACACCAGTGGAACATCATGTTTCTATCTGTCGGAAGCAAAACAGTCAAAAAGCAGAACAAGAATGTGGAAGACGATGCCGTTTGTCTGAGTGTGAGTCTTAACACTGAGGCTTCCCAGAACCTGGAGATGAACTCTGTTTAATATTTCAGCTAAGAATCCTCAGCAGCATTGTGCAGCTGCCATGTTTGGTCTGATTTTTGTCAGAAGAAATTCATCATGTTTTCTGCAGGGACAAAAAAGGACTTTACAAAACCTGAGAACGTGTGGAGGAACAACTGTAGAACATCAGCGTGCCTCTGTGAAACAGAAGAAGAGGCTGATGAGAGTCAAGCTGCAGGCAGGAGGTCAGCCTGAGGTCAGACTCAGACTGCACCACTTCCATCTTCATCTCTGCGCTGATGAAGATGATGGCTTCATGCAGCTTTCACTTTGAAACTTTTACATCCGAGTAGCAGAGACCATGAGTTCTGARGTCTGGTAACTCTCAGGCTGCATCAATAAGAGCATCTGCTGCTTTAAAACAATCGATTGGTCCAAGTGACAACACCTGACCATGCTTTCATCTCACCACCTCTGTAACATGGRACTACACTAATGCATCAGGTAGAAAGTGCTTCTAATTAACTCATTTTCACATCTTTGAGTCAATAAAGCTACAATAAAACCACAAATTATCACAACATGTCAGTTTTTGGGAAAAAAAGGGGAATTTGCTGTAATCAGCGTCTGTAGTCCAATTTAAACSCAGAGCTGGCAAGGTTTGGGTTGTTTTCAGCTTTGCCAGCAGAAATGAAGCCAAAAATAGATTCAGTGAACCAACAGGAAGTTTATTTAGTCAAAGCTAACTGTGTCAAAATCTCATTTCTTCCGCTCTACCTGCTGCTGTACTAAACAGTCAGCTACAGAAGGCCAAAACCGCTGCCTGCTCCGTAAAGAGGGATTCTGTAAGAGTTTAAAGATAAAACATAATTATAAAAACAATTCAAGCCATCAGCCAACACAAAATATACTTGTAAAGATGGTATATTAAACTTTTATTTTTCTAAAGCAAAAAGGAGTATTCTCAGCAGAGGTAAGACTGAAAATATGAAAGAAAAATTCAATTTTTTTTTTACAAAAAGGTTAAGAAGGATTAACAGATGGATGGATGGATGAACAGATGGATGGATGATGGATGAACAGATGGATGGATGAACAGATGGATGGATGAACAGATGGATGGATGGATGGATGGATGGATGGATGGATGGATGGATGGATGGATGGATGGTTCAAAATGTTTCTCTGGTTGTTTTTGAATCAAAATTCAGAATGACCTTATTTTTTCCCTGTCTGTTTTTAAGTATTTTTTATCATCCAGTTTGTGTGATCATAATTTAATTTAATAGTTTTCCACACATACAGAAAACACTCATCCAGTTACCTTCAGCACCTAAAATCTCAAGTGTAAGGTGCTGATCACTGCAGATCTTAATATAAACTACAAAGTAATTTGAGTTGATTATTTCCTTAAAGAACTGTAAAGCTTTGGGTAAAGCTCCCACCCTGACGCTGGGGGCTGCAGGATGTGATGAGCTGGTTGACGTTTGGTTGAGGATTCAGGCGTGAGCCCCTCTCATCTCTGCCAACTGCTTTCTGAAACCTGCATCCATCTGTGGGGTAAATACCGTCTTCCATCAAAGGTTTTAGGAGAAAACAAAAAGCAGAAGTGACGCAGATCTTATTTTATCCCAAAATATGTAGGTTTTTATTTTCACTCTATTTCTATTTTTAAATATGGATGTGAGCCGTGGAGTCTTCTGCTCATTAAATATTTAGAGCCATTTGCTCTCCCCAAGAACTACAGCCATCACTAAGTTCATGAATATAAATTAAACTCTGAATTCATCATGAGAATTTTCTCAAATGGATCTCGCCGCCCACCCTTCATTTCTTTTATCACATCCTCCGGCCTMTTCCCTCCCTCCAGGAAGGAACTTTTTGAGCTAATTCCACGAGGATCTGAGGACTGGACCTGGACCTTCCCCCACAGGAGGCAGCTCTAGCTGTGACAGGAAAACAGTTCTGCAGCTAACACTCCGAATCCTGCAGCAAACATTAGCCGAGCGCGTTCTGTCTGGGAAACATGTAAGCAGTTTCCTGGTGGCCAAGCAGCCTGGCAGGTCCAGCTCTGAAGGCAGCAGCACTCACTCACTAACAGGGTCTCTGGTGGGGGCCTTTATTTCAGTTGCTGGCTCACAACTCCTGCACAGTGTGGGCGGTTTGGAGCCCGTTCGACTTTAGAAAGCGTTTGGAGTGCAGCGAMTTTCCAGGAAACCAACAGATATTACTCAAACTCTAGTTGTGCTTCAGGGCCTGAGCATTTCATGAAATTTCACCAACAGGATGASAAAAGCAACCTCTCACAATCACATAATTCACTGACAAAACGTTAGAAAGAAAATATACCAGAAGATTTAACTAAAAGTGGGACTTTAAATGCGTCTAATAAACATTCTAATCTACTTAGAGGACAAAAACATAACTTTTGATGCAGACTCACTTACTTACAGAAGAGCATTAAATTCATCAAATATAAAAAATTTGACTCTTGATCTCATAATTACGAGATCAGGATCTCGTAATTATGACATTTATTACAATTACAAGAAAAAAATCTCATAATTATGACATATCTCATAATTACGAGATCAGAATCTAATAATTATGACATATTATCTCATAATTACGAGAAAAGAATCTCATAATTATGACATTATCTCATATTTCGAGATCAGGATCCTCATAATTATGACATATCTCATAATTACGAGAAAAGATCTCATAATTATGACATATTATCTCATAATTACGAGAAAAGAATCTCATAATTATGACATTATCTCATATTTCGAGATCAGGATCTCATAATTATGACATATCTCATAATTACGAGAAAAGATCTCATAATTATGACATATTATCTCATAATTACGAGACAAGATCTCATAGTTATGAGAAAATAATTACGAGATCAGGATCTCATAATTATGACATATCTCATAATTACGAGAAAAGATCTCATAATTATGACATATTATCT